TGCCCTTTTGACATAGCCTCGTCTTGGTATCCTCTCTGCCCGGAGGCAGAGAGTTTGACTAGCACAGCTGGGGACGAATCTTCAACCAATTCCCAAAGCAAGTGTATTTGCCTTACCTCCCCGCGAGGCAGGATACTGCACAAGGCCGTTTTAATGCGGAGCAAAACCGAGTCCGTAGGCTCGGGCCAAAATTCCCCGTAGACCCCGTCTACACTGGGTTGTGTAGCCGTCTGCCACCCCAGACGAGACTTTGCCCTTCCGAGCTTTCTCTGCAGCCATATTCGTTGCCTCAGAGGCTATTCTTTTTAACCTAGCCCTAACTACCAGAGCTTGATCCTTCTTGATAAGCCAGGAGGCCAACTCTGCTTTAGCTAAAGCTACGTCCACACTATCACGGGATTTCAGCGGCGCAAATGGCTTTTGAGCAGAAATTAACCATCTTCTGCTCACAAGCTGTTGGCGCTGCTAGTCTATCTAGATTGAGATGACGTCTGTAATCAGCAGCAAACGTTCTAATTTGGGATTTTAATTCATCCCACCAGGCATTCCCAACCACAGCCGCAGTCAGTTCCCTCTGTATCATTAGTAGCAGCTGGTCCCGGAAATCTTGCTCGCCAAATAATGAAGAGTTCAATTTTCAATAGCCAGCCATTTTAACCTAAGGCTTATCTATGTTTACCCAGACCCGGACTACGATCCGAATAAACTATATAATGAGAACTTGGACACCCTAAGATCCCTACATCGACTACCTAACTAAGTGTCCTACATCGACTCTCCTAACTAAGACTCGGTCGAGTAGCGAGAACGCACCTCTGTAGCCGAATCGCCACTATTAGTCAAAGTCCACACTACCTCCCGAGGGTTTTCATTCCGGTACTTACCGATAAGATCAAAACTATCCATACAGTCCCGAAATGGTTTCACCTCCCGGTTGTTAGTACCCGAATTTGGCCCTATACGATCTATGTCGGGGTCATGGGTGGCATTCGAATTCCCCGCTAAAACTACCCGACGAGATGTCGTCAAAAACGGCTCGATCTGCCGAAACAAAGCAGACCGCTCAAAATGGACATTGGGCGCATAAACTGCAATTAGACGCAGAGCCTTATCCTTCATGGTAACATTTAGCACGCAAAGTCTGCCCGCCGGATCTGCGAAGACAAGAGGACACGAAACCTTCAAAGACTTGCTCACCAGCCAAAAGACGACACCCCTCGAGCGTCCATCAAAACATACTGAATAGAGTGAAAAACCCCTAGACAGAAGGCCTTCATAATCGCAAGAAGAAAAATGGGTCTCTTGCACAATATATATTCACCCCGAGACGCTGATGGTAACGAGCAACCCTCGCCCTAAGAGACTCTGACCTCAGGCCTCAGACATTCAAACACGGGAGCCATGATGAAACATATTAGGGTTGCTCTCCTGCATTTAACATGGCCGGGGTTAGGACAACGACGGCCTCTCTCATTGATGCTGTGTCCATCTTACTCCTAATGGATCAGGAGAGAAGCCGCCAATGTCTAGGGGAAAGATAATTTTAGGGTTCTATAAAGGGAAGGGTAAACGAAAAACGGGAGCCTCTCTGAAGTATATTGATTTGATTTTCTCATTTTCTCATTATCGAAGTAGGCAATTGGAAGGACCATACCAAAGACCTGGTTTGCCTCCGTCACTATAAGTTCATTCATGTTTTAAAGGTGCACCAGTCCTGATCACAGTCAATATTCTCTTGGCGTTTGGAAAATTGCTTTACTACTGTTTACCATTTTGTGGTTTCAATATCTTCTTTACCATTCTTTACCATCTTGCAGTTTCAATAATTTCTTCTTTACCATCTGGCAGTTTCAATAATTTCTTCTTTACCATTCTTTACCATCTGGCAGTTTCAATAATTTCTTCTTTACCATTCTCTACCATCTGGCAGTTTTAATAATTTCTTCTTTACCATTCTTTGCCATCTTGCTTTTTCAATAATTTCTTCTTTACCATTCTTTGCCATCTTGCTTTTTCAATAATTTCTTCTTTACCATTCTTTGCCATCTTGCTTTTTCAATAATTTCTTCTTTACCATTCTTTACCATCTAGCTGTTTCAATAATTTCTTCTTTACCATTCTTTGCCATCTTGCTTTTTCAATAATTTCTTCTTTACCATTCTTTACCATCTTGTTGTTTTAATAATTTTTTCTTTACCATTGTTTACCATCTGGCTGTTTCAATAATTTTTTCTTAATCATTCTTTACCATCTTGTTGTTTCCATAATTTATTCTTTACCAATCTTTATCATCTTGCTGTTTCAATAATTCTTCTTTAACATTGTTTACCATCTTGCTGTTTCAATATTTTCTTCTTAAACCAATCTTTACCATCTTTCTGTTTCAATAATTTCTTCTTTACCATTATTCATCATATTGCTGTTTCAATAATTTCTTCGTTACCATTCTTTACCATCTGGCTGCTTCAATAATTTCTTCTTTACCATTCTTTACCATCTTGTTTCAATAATTTTGTCTTTACCATTCTTTACCATCTAGCTGTTTAAATAATTTCTTTACCATTCTTTACCATCTTGTTTCAATAATTTCTTCTTTACCATCTTGTTTCAATAATTTCGTCTTTACCATTCTTTGCCATCTTTCTTTTTCAATAATTTCTTCTTTACAATTCTTTGCTATCTTCTTGTTTCAATAATTTCTTCTTTACCATTCTTTACCATATTTCTGTTTCAATAATTACTTCTTTTCTATTCTTTATCATATTGCTGTTTCAATAATTTCTTCTTTACCATTCTTTACCATCTTGCTGTTTCAATAATTTTTTCTTTACCATTCTTTACCATCTTGTTGTTTCAATAATTTCTTCTTTACCATTCTTTACCATCTTGCTGTTTCAATAATTTTTTCTTTACCATCCTTTGCCATCTTGTTGTTTCAATAATTCCTTCCTTACCGTTCTTTACCATCTTGCTGTTTCAATCAATTTTTCTTAACCATTCTTTTCCATCTTGTTGTTTCAATAATTTCTTCCTTAGCATTCTTTACCATCTTGCTGTTTCAACAATTTCTTCTTTACCATTCTTTACCATCTTTCTGTTTCAATAATTTCTTCTTTATCATTCTTTAACATCTTACTGTTTCAATCAATTTTTCTCAACGATTTTTTTAATTCTTCTAAAGTTGTTCGTATTTATTTACAAAAAAATTACGGATAAATGATATTCGACATTGGGCGATGTGTTGTTTTCTTAATTTCGTCATCCAGGAAACACTCGGTCAAGAACATAATGTTGACAGCCAATGAACTGTGCTTATTCTAGTTTCTTTGGGCCAAATATTTTCTGTAACTGAATTACAACCGCATTCCTGCTTCCCTTGTTCACATTCGTAGTGTCTGCAACAATCTTCTGTATACTCTTCCATACATTAAATTCACTCACAACAGCTGTTATTATTTTGACAACAGTATCCGCCCTTCAATTCTGTAGATGTAATGCTTCTAACTTAACTTCTCGTCTTTCATTATTCAAAAGAAGCATTTGATATTCTTGGTCA